CATGACTCTGGTCAGGCCACAGCTGGAGTACTGTGTCCAGTTCTGTGCACCCCACTTTAGGAGGGATGTGGACAACATTGAGAGGGTCCAGAGGAGGGCCACCCGCATGAACCGGGGACAACAGGGCAGAACCTACAGTGAGAGACTGCGGGACCTGAACCTGTTCAGCCTTCACAAGAGAAGGCTGAGGGGGGACCTGGTGACTGTCGATAAACTCACTAGTGGGGACCAGAAGGGTTTGGGAGAGACGTTGTTTCTCCTTGTGCCCCCTGGCATAGCAAGGAATAACGGCCATAAATTGTTGGAGAGTAGGTTTAGATTAGACATCCGTAAGAACCACTTCACAGTTAGGGCAGCTAGGATCTGGAACCAACTTCCAAGGGAAGTGGTGCTGGCTCCTACCATGGGGGTCTTTAAGAAGAGGCTTGATGCCTACCTGGCTGCAGTCATTTGGGCCCAGTTTTTCTCCTACTCAGGTTGGGGGTCGGACTTGAAGATCTACAAGGTCCCTTCTGACCCTACTTTTATAATTCTATGAGAGATTATTGGTTTGGCTGTTAAAGATAATGTGGAAATTGGTGCTGCAGGGATATTCATGACCAAAAATAAGTTACCCATGCAGCTGCCTAAGTAGATACAGAATCCTCCCTGGTGAATGATGCTTGTGGGTCCTTTATAGTATGGAACTGCAAAGTGGTTAATCATTTTCTGCTTTAAATAGCTTTTAATTCATTAAATACAGGCTTGCTATTTACCGTTTTAGTGTTTTTTTTTCTGAATTATTCCAGTGCAAAACACCCATTTATTAGCCTCCTTACCTCTGCAGTGATTAATGGCTATATATACTTTTATTATGGTATTCCAGATTTACTGATGAATTCAGGGTGCAGCCTCAGGGAAACACCCTCCTTTTATTTTCAATCCCACTATGACAGTTTGTTGTTAATTGAATGGATAAATAGTGGGAACCTTCAGCACCATTTCTTCCTTCCACGTGGCTACTTCATGTTTCAAAGATTTTAAACCACCTCTTTGGGAATTAGGCTCTTTGTCGATAGAAAAATTAGCTGTCTGCAAACTGAAAAGCACTACACTAATCACTGTGCAACATCCCCATGTACACCTGACAGTATTATTAGGACAAAATAGAATTCTCTCAGTCTTTTCTGTGCTACCATTAAAAAGCCAGCCATTATTCCAGCTCTGTCCTTTTTGTCTGCGAACAAAGACTGTCTAGGTTTCTGCTTGCTTATCGTTTACTTAGTTACACAGATACAGGCTTTCTGCCTTTCTTCTGCCCTTGTAAAGACTTCTCTAAGAATGGGCCATTAGCTCTGACATGTATTTCATATCAAGATGCAGAAGATACCAATAAGGTGTTTAGAATTTGAGAAAATTGGGTTTATGATATACAGACAGGGAAACCAAGTGGCATATAGGAGCAGAGTAGTGTTTTGCCCAACCTGATAACACCTTTATATACTCTTTGATCTATAAATGATCTATGAAGTACTGCATGTGTGGCATTATGACTGCCACCAGGCAGGACTAATAATCATTAAACAAAGGGAATTCATCTACTCTTTTCCCCCATCCTCCCCCTGCACATGTTGTAGCTGACAAACAATTCTTTAAATATTTTAACCTGAAGAACTCCCCTCTTCTAACTCTAACACATGCACTGGTTCAGTACTGAAGTTGATCATTAATACTGTTTTTAAATCAGAGTACTCCTAAAATAGTTAAGCACTAGCGAGATCAGCTCATGGAAGTCAATACTGATAAGAGGCCATCTTGGGTTTTAGGAGCTCCGGAATGCTCACAGCGAACAGCTCATGGGAATCCGCCGGGAAGAGGAGATGGAAATGTCTGATGATGACAGTGGTGACAATCCCAGTAAAAAGCTGCGAGTAGATGAATCAGGTAAGGCAGAGAGCCCCTGCAGTGTCCTGTAATATGTCACCCTTGTCTTTTAAAATCTTACATTATTGGTAGAACTAGGCAAGAGCTATATAGCATGGGATAGCTGCTGCATTTGATCATCCATGTATGTATTTTCTTTGAATTACTTTTACTTGTGTCTAGATAGCTGTCATCGTCCAAAAACTCTCTAGTTTTTTCCACTGTTGGAACCATTATGGCTCTTTCAAAAGGGTTTTTCCAACCTTGCAAAATGGAATTTGATTCCATGGTAATATTATTTAAATATGGAAGCAGCCAAAGTTCCGTTTCTTTCTATACACTGAACCTTTCCTTTCTTTTCAGCAAATACATTACAGTGTATGACCCTGCTAATTAACTGAGTTTTTCATGGAATTAACTCCTAAAGAGATTGTATTAATTGGAGTAAATTAAATAACTACTCTGAAAGAGAGAACAAGTACATTTGGTACATTTGCAAAAACTTTTCCAGCTTTTGGAGAACAGTCAGCTCCCAAGGTGAGCAATTCAGAAGGTGGATATTGGATTGGCTTGGTGACTCATGGTAACTGGCATGCACTATTTACAGAGATATCATGGCTGCAATCCTTCCTTTGATTTCAGGGTCTGCCAAACAACTGTGGTATAGAGAGTTGTGAGGTGTTAACAGGGGTCTACCCCTGTGTTCCTCAGCTTCATAAATAAACAGCTTATAAAAGCTCTCGACCAAACTTAATTTGGTCCTACTAATAAGAGTTTAGATATGTGGACAAATGAAACAAGATATATGCAGAAAAACTAAATGTTAGTATTGCGAAGAATTTGACTTAGAACTGGACTCAAGCACCATATTCCATGACCATAACTCTTTTAATGACTGGATTTTTATGACTGCATAACTGTATGTGTTCTTACATATATGCAAGAGGAAGTTATTTTACCACAGGCGATGGTGGCTATGAGACTTAAGATCTCCAGAAGTAAAGGTTGAAGCAGGATTCCATTCTTCAAATATATAAACACATTCATTGTTAGCAGGAATGTGCTAGGAATAGGCCACTTTTCTTTGAGGAGATATAATATTTTTCAAAAAGAAAGGTTTGCACAATAAACCCTGCTAGTGGCAGCTTTAATTTTTGCCTAAAATAATAGTATGGGTTTGAGTTTTCCAGAATTAATTAGTAGAATGATTGGAACTGACACAGTGGCTCTTCAGGAAAAGTACTGCTGGCAAAGACAGATATTTATGAACATGTAATCATTGGCTTTGGCCATGGCCAGTCTCATAGAGATAAATAATGATAATTAACAATAACAATATACAGTGAGAAATGCCTACTCGCCAGACTCAAGAAAAATAATAATTAAGTTTTGACCTGTCATGCTTAACACTTCATCTGGGTTTCATAAATACTACTTAAGCAAAGGTACAGTTCAAACACTATGCTTCAAATTAATAATGTTACAAATGGGAAAATATGGTTGTTTTTTTCCTGAAGTGAAGAGGGACACATTTTGACAGAAAACCATGACTTATTTGGTTTTTTCTCTCAACTTATTTTGGCTTATTTGAATTTCATCTACTTACCTATGAACTTGGACATATAATTTGCATTAGTTATAACCTGAACAACCCTACTAATACATCACATACAAAGTCTGTACTTCACAGTATAACTTTAATCCAAAGACATGGTTCTTTACCATTTTCTACTTCTAGCCTCAAACTCTTAAATAAGCTTTGTTGATCTGATTCTTCCCTCACTATCATTGATGTAAATGAAGCATACCTTCTCTGAAACAAATGGAGGTACCCCAGTGTAAAAGTGAAAGCAAAATCAGGGCCTGTGGACAATAATTATTTTTTGACCCTTTTCTATTGACTAGTGTAGTTCACCATCTCTTTGGTGATTCATTTTTTCTCTACATGACTTTGCTTGTCCTTTTTCTTTTTTTTTTTTAACTTGCATACATTAGAGGAGTGGTATTCATCCAAAGAGTTGGTGAAATCATGTACTTCAACTCTTCACAGACCACAGCCGCAAAGCACCTTATGAAAACAAAACCAAGAACACTGCAACATGCCACTGGTAAAAGGTAGAGGAGAAAGGACCAGTGCCTTGCCACTGAAATGGCAGAGAAGTAATTTTAGTTACATTTGCAGAGAAAACAGGACCATGTATGGTCCCCAGGCTAGGGACAGAAGTTGCACATAAACTGGTTTAAGTCATAAGAAACTAGTTTAAACCTGTAACAGAACAGGAGCTCAGTGCACATAAACCAATTTCAGAATGGCTGAAACTGGTTTAAGATAAACCTGGTTGAATGTAGTACCAGACTTAACTGATTTGGGTCAAAGCAGTTTATGAAACTTCTGGCCCAGACCCCATCCTGGTTCAAGTTAAATCACAGTCCCCCAGCATCCCAACATGCTTTCCAGCCCTGGGCTGGGCTCTCTGCTTCAGAGAGCAGGGCTGGCCCCACCCCTTTGCTCCCTACCTGGGGCAATGAGGGCTGACTGACAAGGGGGTGGGGTGGGGGTGAGCCCAGCTGGGGATGCAGCCCAGTCTATGGGGGGCAAACCCCTGGCTGGGGTTTGAGGCCAGGGAGGGGGCTTAAATACCCCACTCAAACTTACTGCTGGCTGCAACTGTGGACTACAAATCCCAGAGGCACCTGGAAGCAGGAAGAGGAAGTGATGAGCAACCCTGCAGAGTCCTGTTGCTGTAATTCTGGACTGCAAATACCAGAGACCTCAGGGGTAGCAGGAAGAGGAAGTGAACACACAGCCAGAGAGCTGTGCTCTAGTTCCCCCTGGCTTCTGGTCTGAGCCACTGCAGGCATGTGGCTACATTTCCTGAATCAAAGGTAAATGTCTGTTCACTTCTGTTTCAATTTAACCTGTGAATCTTAGACTAACCTGCAAAGACTGACTCGATTCAGCCTCAGGCTCTTTGACAGTCTGTACCTAGCCCCTGAGTCCTTGCTAATCTCTGGAAAGGACAATTCCTTTCTGACCCAATCTGGTGATCATTTTGAACAAGAGCAGAAAAGCAAGGTCTACCAGACAGATAACCAAGAGGTTTCTGGATGCCAGTATACCTCAGTCAGAACTCCCACATTAGTCTTTGGCCAGCATCAAACACTTCTAAAGAAGGGTGGAAAGAAAAAACAGAAAGCAATAAAGCATCATTGGGGGGAAGAAATCTCTTGCTGACCATTAGGGGTGACCAGAAAAAGCCCTAAAGTATGGAGTTACCAGAAAACTTCTGAGAGAGGAAAAAATTACTTCTTAACCCTAACATAGGGATTCTAATACTTGAATCTGCATTCCTGACTCTTGGATTTATTATTATTATTTACCTATGTTGTCTTGTATCTGTTCCACAGAAAGAATATCCTTTTAAAACTTTATTGTAAAGGTGCATATTTTTTGAGAAGGCAGATTTTTACATATTCCTCATCCTTAAAACTTTTTAATTGTTTCCCCCCATTTATAGAATAAGTACCTGTGATTCTGCATGTGTAAAAAATGGTGCAAATGCCCACAAAGAAGAAAGATACCAAGCCTTATTGTAAGAAATTATAATTCCCATTAAAACAGACCTGCAGGCTAGGGACGCACGGGCATCCTAACGTGAGAATTAGCTACAACTTGGTGACATTCAAGTCCCAGAAAAACACTAAGCTAAATATTGTCTCTTGTACACTTTGAATTTAAGCATTTTGAAGCACGTGGTTAGATGTTTTTTACTGAGTACTTTTCTTTTGGGGTAAAGGCCTGGTCTTCAAGTCAGGTATGATTTTGTTGCAGATCACAGATTGTACTAATCACTCTTAAGATACAAGCCAGATTCCACCAAAGCATACTGTTATTCCTTAATATTACAGCCTAATAATAACTCACCACAAAGTATATCAACTCATTTTTCAACTCAAATGTACTTCTTTTGCATGCAAAACTATCCTTTTTGTCATATTTGTTAACCGTAGCAGAACTAGGCCTGTCAGACCTGTGTTTCAGGCTATGCTGCAATGCAGAGACACAGCATTCTGAACAAACTGAACAAAAATGTCTGGAGGGATGATATATTCCCTCAGACCTCCATTCTTTATAAAGCTGGGACTGGTAGCAAAAGACAACAGACACCAACTACCCACTAAATCTGGCCTGAAGGATACAACTGTTACGTGTATATTTTATTTCCCACACCTCAAGCTTTAGGTTTAAACCTTGATTTATTTGCATTTCAGATTTTTGAGCTGGAAGGGAAAAGAGAAGTTTTCTGATGTAAAACTAAGATTGTTAAAAAATTGGTAACTGGCTTAGATATTATATTTGAAAGTCAAGGTACAGTTATTGAAGCATTAGTTCAGAAAAAGTGGCATCCTCCACAGGGGTCTGGAGAATACAGGAAATCTTTAGAATGATCAGAATTTCTGGGTGCTTGGTCTTCCATGTGATGGCACCGTGAGCAAAAATCCCCCCAAAAGAAAACTTCAAAGTAATTTTAAAAATTAGTGAAGTGAAGCTACTAGCTTTACCAGTAGCAAAAAGGCTTATTTTACATTGTGAAGTTATCTATAAGCTCCTTTCAAGTGGGAGGGGAGGGCTGTTCTTCCTTTTGCAGTTCCTGTGCTGTGAATTCTTGTGAATGCAACTGTAGTGGCTGACAATTTGTAAGTAGTGCATAAAAGAAAGAAATAGACTTCTTTGCCAAGGGCCACCAGGTGGTTTCTGTGGTTAAGGCATTTGATAGGGATTCAGGAAATCGGGGGAAAATTCCAGCTCTGTCAAAAACATCCTGGGCGACAGCGAACAACTCAATTGATCTTTCAGTGTCTCAGATCCTTACCTGTAAATGGAGGCAATGGTGTTTCCTTTTATTTGAAACATTCTCTCTCTTCTCCATCTAGGGTTTCATGTAGGAGCTGTTTTTTTCTGTAATGTCTGTTCAGTGCCCAGCACTTGGCTGGCCCCAGTTTCATTGAAGTCTTTAGTC